GAAGTTACTTATGTGTAGCAATAATATACGCATATATGCTAAAAGCTGGATCCTGGGACTCATACAAGATTTTCTGTGGTAGCTTAGTTTTTAATTTGGCAAGTTGAACAGGTTCACAAGTTCTACCAGACATAAACTTTCTCAAGTGATTCTACCTCTTCACGTTTTCTCAGGAATCTTTTATTAAAGGAAAAGTTAGAAACAATAATGTTAAACAACAAATGGTAGAACAGGTGTCAATTTGTCAATAACCTACTGGCTAACTGGCAACATTTTTGGCAACTGTGCCAGTCCCGAGGGTTTTGTTTTATACTAATTGGAATACTGAACTCAGCTGCTTCAGGCATTTAACGTGTTCTCCCCCCGCCCGAAGACACGTGAAGCCTCTTTTCTACCTTCATTCTCCTATTCACCTGGGATCTTCTACCCTACATAAACCCAAAACATAGCATCACAAGTAAAACTGTATTTATTTTTTGTAATACTAGGGATTGAACATTAGGGCCATTGCTAGGTAAATGTTCTACCACTGTAATATAACCTCAGTCCCACAAGCTCTTTTTTTGTTTTGATTTGTTTTTTGAGACAGGGTCACACTTTGTAGTGTAGGCTGGCCTTGAGCTTGCAACAATCCTCTTGCCTCAGCCTCCCAGTTCCCATAAGACTTTACAACCACATTAGCTGGCAAAGATTCCTAAAGGAAAGAAACAGATTTATGGCCATTTTTATAAAAATAAGTTTAACAAAACACTGGCAATATAAATAAAAAGTAAATTACAATGTGAAGTTAAAGCAGCTTACAGTGTAATAAGTCAACCAATGTAGAAGGTGGTGGTTGAAGGAAGTAAGCTTTGACTTTTTAGGTTTCTTAACCAAGGGATTTATTTAGAAATTCTGACAAACACAGGTAAAATCCAATTTTACAGATCAAAAAAAAGTTTTGTTTTGAAAGGAATGTCTCTAAGTTTTGTTTTTATTGAAGAAACATTAGGAAGAAAATAGAAATAATAAAACTAAGAGTATACTTCTATGGAATCAGTTTTATTTCCTACTCTGTTCATTTTATAAGGCTTGCTATCACTACAGAATTATAGCCATTTTTTAGCTGCTTTAAGAAATTATAAAACATAGCAAAAGGGCCGCTCTATTTCTGAATATGATGGGCAGGTTTGTATTTTCTCAGGTCCAGCACAGACTGAAGTATGGGCTCACAAGGAAAGGGAGGTAGATTAAGTGGACAGCAATTGTAAATTTGGCCAAGCCATCTTCCTTCTCTAAGCACATTTTTAGCAGAAACAGGTTTTTAAAAAAGTTATTTTTAGCTGGAGATTTAGCTCAGTGGTTCTGCCGCCTGCCTTGCAAGGATAAGGACCTGAGTTCAATCCCTGGTACCTTAAAAAAAAAAAAAAGAAAGAAAAAAAAGTTCTTTTTGGTTCAGAAGTTATGGGTGGCATGGAGACAAGGAAATAGACTTGAACTTATACACTGAGAAATATTTAAGTTCCTTGGCCCAATACAGTACTTTTGTATTCTTTTTTTGGTACTGGGAACAAGCTTGGGACCTTGCTCGAGAGGCAGACAGCGGAACCACTGAGCTAAATCCCCAGCCCAGTTCTCTTGTATTCTTTAGACACATCTTAATATGTTTCTGACTTTGCCCAGGATGAAACAAAAAAAATTTGTTTTGGTACTGTGTGGATGAAATTTTTTGAAAAGTGTATTTCCTCTGAACACATTCATACTTCAAATCAACCTATTTTTCCTTTGATTTAGTTAGGTTATGTAAGCAAAGAAATTCATGACTTTAGCAGCACCCTGAAGTAAGAATGGCTGAGAGAGGGCTACCCAGTAACAAGGGCAGGCAGTATTTACAGACAGAAATAGCCAGTTTGGTTACCATTTAGCATATGTCATTTGGACATGTTTTGGCAGTTCATAGCACATGACTGGCTGACAAGTTCAGCTGCTTAGATTGGTTGAGACCCAATTACTTATGATAGGATAGATGTTCCTTGACTTTCAGTGGAGTCTTGTCCGGATAAACTCATAAGTAGAAAATAACCTGTCTAAAATGCATTTAATCTACTGAACATCACAGCTTGGCCACACAACATGGCATCACCAGCTCACTGCCTCTGCCCACCATCAGTGTGAGTACCCTACTGTAATGCTAGCCTGGGAAAAGATCAAAAGTAAAACTTGAAGTGCAGATTCTACTAAATGTGTTTTATTTTCGCAACATCATGTTAAAAATTCAAGTCAAGCCAATTCAGAGATCTAAATATACTCTGACATTAGGCTGTAGGGCCTATGTATTATGCTATAGTTTGCCACGTAAGGAGAGACCTTAAGACCAAGTTTAACTTAATTACCTTTCAATTAAGCTTCTTCACTTTTGAGAAACTATAACCACTTTCTGTCACTATCATAAATAGATTTGTTTGGTCTCAGTATGGGATTCAAAAGATCAAGTTAGCTGAGTGATGCTTCATGTTTTCTTCTTATTTTTATTATTCTGACTAATAAGATCATTTTGAGGTACAAAGGATGACTGCAAAGGATGCCTTCTATCTTAAGTTTTAGAATTATTCTTGGTGGCATTTTTCACTGGGGAAAAAAAAACTTTCATTGTAGTTCCATTCAAGAACAAATAAACTAACCATAATAACCTGGCTTTTGAATTTATGTGACCCACCATATAATATGTACTAGTATACCTAATTATTTTGAATGCTGTAACATTTGGGTTTAAATTATATACAGAAAATCATCAAACTGGAAAAATCACAGGAAAAAGCAATACTAAGTTACACTGGAGTCACAAGATATTTTTCTACCACAAAAATGAAATTTTATTTCAAGAAGCTATGTTGTCAGTAAATATGTATAATAAATATAGTGTTTGTAAATGAATAAAGCTGCTGAAGTGGTTAAGAAAGCTTGAATAATTTTTTAACATAGAAATTGCCATCTTTAAATTTAAAAACCAATATTCATTTACTTAGTTGACTATTTTTTCATATTTAGTCTTGCCTTCAATTGATTTTTACAAAAATACAGTCAGTGGGTTCCAGATTAATGTGGATTAACTAATGCTGAAACTAATAACGATTGCCCTTTTCCTGTCAAAGGCTGACTTCCTTCAATATGACTCCTAAAATAACACATCTAAAATTCTATTAGACATTGCTCAATTTATAATCTAATCAGGAAATATGCAATCACATTAGAGCAAAGTGTATGCAGCCTAATACATATATATAGTTCATAACACTGTCAGAAAACAATTCAATGTATGTCAAAATATGTTTAAATGTTTCACTGTAAAAAACAAATAAATAAAACAATCAGCCAGGCTTCGTATCAATTAGACAACTTTTACTAAATGAGAAAACTACATTTAAAATGTGCTTTAAAACAAAATGAATTAGAAAAAAAAGACAGGCATTTTAAAGAACTTTTGCACTGTGCTGAAAATCAAATATTTCTTGCAATAATACAATACGCCAATCCATAAAATGTAAGTTAACAGAATTCCCAAATTAACATTTTCAAAGACAGTATTAAGGTCAAGAATTTCACACCCATGGTAGCACATAGAAGGGCATTATAAATATGATGTCCAACCCTATGGAGCTTACAAATTTGACAATGCTCAATAAAAGATTTTAGAATCCCATCCAAGTGTCACATCTAAGAATCACCAATTTGTGTCCTAGAAGTTCTCCTACTAAAATCTTTATGTTGACTTTTCTACTCCTTGCCATTTGTTAATGCTAACCCTTAAAAAGAGTGAGAACAGGAAAAGAAATGCAATAAACTCTTGATCATGTACAGAAATTATTGCTACTATAGTTCACTACAAAGCATATCTATACAATATATGACCTTTGATAATGAAAAATCAGAAAAATCTTTAGTGACACAGCCTTACAACTGCATACAACATTCACATGGCAATATTAGAGAGGGAAGCACCCAACGCCTATGGTTGACAAACTGTCCCACTGATCAGCATTCATTAAATATATCCTTCACATGGGGGGAGAGATAGTGTCAACTTTCCAAGGCTTGTCAAAAAAGGATTCTCATGTTCTATGGATCTAAAAACAAACAAAACAACAAAAACTCCAAAAAACAAAACTGATGCAGGTGAAGGTGCTACTGAAAGTTAAGCATGCCAAAAGGTGTTCCGTGCAAATTAAAACCTAAAGCCAAGGTACCACATAATCACATTACCAACTAGTTGGGTAATACTATATGAGCATTATCTTCAAGTTAAATGAAATGCTACTGCACAATAGAGCATTAATAAGTTAAAAATTAGAGTGCACAAATCCAAATCAGTGGCAATTTCTGTAAAAAGCAAAATATTCACTATTAGCTGGAAAGTGTGCCCAGTCAATTAAAATCATTGGATTGGACCGTCTGCACGTTTTTTTAAAACTGTCAATCTTGAGAATTCCTTTTTACTGTAATGAGGCATAAGTTGTCACAGTAAGATCAAAAAGGTATGTAAGTAGATAAGCAAAGGAAAGTAACAGTTGGTGAATGCCTTTAAAGCTCTTCCCATATTTCACTTTTTAAAATGTTTAGGGCAAAATTAAAAATAGTTGCCATTATTCTAGCAAAAACAAAACAAAACAAGCTCAAAATAATAAACAACCAAGCAACACTAAAACCACATTACACAGATGGATCATCATGCTTTCATCTGGTTTAACTATCACATCTAGTTTAAATGGGATGCTTTTCAACTTTAAAAATTTTGACACGTGAAGATGTAACTTTAATGGATAATTTTGAATTTGGATTTTTTTTATTATAACAGTATACTTATTACAATACAGTGTAGCACATCTTTCTATTAGAAAAAAATTTAAGATCCTTTACCCGTCTCCTTAAGTTAAAGGTGTGACATCATAAAGGGTGTCAAATGGCTGGATGGTTTTACAGTGCACACTTATATATTATGGAAGTATGTCCTTAACAAATCGGATGGTTTCTTTATAGGATTCCTTTCTTCACCTTTTCTTCGGTGGATTAGCTGTTCGAGGTGGAGTGACAGGACGTCCAGAATTCAGTCCACCATACTGGTACTTAGCTTTCTTTTCAGATGGTTTCAGTATCTTAAAGTAAATTATTTATAATAAACAATGTTATTCAATAAATAGAAAAATTATAAAAGTGTGATTAAAAATGTAAAACAAAACAGCAAAGTTCCAACAAACATTTCACATTTAAAGAATGTGCAGCAGAGGCTGGGGGTAGTTCAGTGGAAGAATGAATACTTAGCACACACAAGTGTACTGGGTTCAATCTCTAGTACTGAGAAAAAAAAAGGGTGCAAAACACCTGGTAACTTGTTAACATTTTAATAACAAAAACTAGAGTGCTTACCCCTACAAACTACCCAATCCTTAAACATGTTATTTTTTTCTTCAAATTAGTTGTATCTCTGTGGTGAGGCAAAGAGAAGTGGCTTAAGAGTTTTTAAAAAAACAACAAAACCCTCAAATATTAGCAGTCACCTATCTACTTTATGTCTCTTAGATCTGCCAAATCTGGACACCTCATATAATTGCCATCATGACATTGGTGACTGGCTTCTTCCACTAAAGCTCTCCTGTATGTTATCAGTATTTCATTCCTCTCTGTTGCTAAAGTATATTCCACTGTATGAACAGGCCACATTTAAATAAATTTAATCTTTCATGTGGGCTTTGGGGTTGTTTCTACTTCTTGGCTATTATACGAATAATGCTGCTACAAACATCCATGCACAATATTTTATGTGGACATATGTTTTCATTCTCCTAGGGACACACCTAGGACTGGAACTGTTGGATCATTCAACAGTTTAACCTTCTGATGAAGAATCAAACTTTTCTAAAGCAGCTGTAACAACGTACATTTCCATCACCAATGTATGAAGTTTAGAGTCATTCTACATCCTTGAGAAGTTGTTACAGTGTGACTATTTTTAATGTAGAGCTTTAACAACATTATAATTAGAAAATGTCATGATTTTGTAAGAAAGATGCACAGAAAAGACATAGGAAGTATTCTGCAAATGCAGCTCAGTGCGTGCTTGCACAGCATGTTCAAGACTCTGGGTTTGATTTTTTGTGTCGTTAGTGATGTTCTTGTGGCTGCCTCAAGGTCCTTATCTTCACAATGTCTTAATCTTCACCTTTCATTCTCATTTTGATTTTGGGGAAGAGCCAGATGTTGTAAAAGGCAGACTCAGTGAATTAGGTGGATGAGCCTTAATGTTTTTATGAACCTGCTTTTCTGTTTGATGCTACTTGGCAAGCAGCCATGTTCACTGTATTTTTGACTGCACCTCATATATAAAGACACTCAGGAAAGAGCACTTCCAGAAATGCTTCTGAAAGCAGCAAGAACAAATGAGAGAGGTGTGCCTGAAGTGAGGGGAGTATTCCAAGAATTAATGGCATGTCTTTTACTGTAATGCATTTTTTAAAAATTTAACATTCACCATATATTTTCATCATATTTCGTGAAAAGTATCAGTTGAGCCTACATAATCCATGCTCCTGAGAATTCAACTAACTGTGGATTGAAAATATTTGAGAGGAAAAAGTGTGCCTGTACTACACATGTAGACTTTTTCCTTGTCATTATTCTCTCAAACAGTATGACACCAATTTACACAGCATACACACTGTGTTAGGCATGGTAAGTAACCTAGAGATGATTTAAAGTATTCAGGAAGATGTATACAGGTTATATGCAGATACTATGCGTTTTATATATGGGATTTAGACTTTCTTGGATTTTGGTGAAGGACATTAACATTTGTAAACACAAAATACTAAAGCTGTTTAGTCAACAAACAAAAATAATTTGTAAAACAGTATATAAAAGGGCCAGGGATTTAGCTCAGTGGCTCTGTGCCTGCCTCGCAAGTTCAGGGTCCTGAGTTTGATCCCTGGTACTGGGGGTGGGGAACCCAACAATAACATATAAAAGATACAGATAGTGCCTTTTCAAACTGTAAATGTTTTCTATTTTTATAAACAGGTACTTTTTTTTTTTATTTTTTTGAGACAGGGTCTCACTATGTAGTTGAGACTGCCCTGGAACTCACAGTGATCCTCCTGCCTCAGCCTCCCAGAGTGCTGGGATTACAGGCATGCGCCATCATGCCCAGCTCATAAACAGGTACTTTAAAACTCTAAATTATCCACTGTATTAACTTTCTTTTAGCAGGTAAGCCACTATCCAACCAGGTCACAGAGGAACTTAACAATTTCAACATCTAAATCAAGAACTGACACAATTTAGGTTCCCTATGACCCTCATATCTGAAATTTACCAAGAGGGAGTGGAAGATTTGATTGAAAATACAAATTTCAGTTGGGCATGGTAGCGCCCACCTGTAATCCCAAGCACCTGGGAGGCTGAAGCAGGAGGATCAAGACTTCAAGGCTAGCTTGGGCTGCACAGTGAGTTTAAGGACAGCCTGAACTACACAATGAGATGCTGTCTCAAAAAACAAAAAGAAAACAGGAATTTCTACTGAGTCTGAATGGTAATCATTTTTAAATTGATTTTCAACATTGTGCTTAAGGAAAGATTGTGTATCTAAAAATTATTCTGTCAATAGTTTTAGAGTTATAGTTGCTATAAATTTATTACCTGAAATGAACACATCAAAGTTTCATCCACACTCATCATTCCACCAGCATTGTCAAATTCACCACAGTAATTTGGGGCTGAAAATAGGGTTACCAACTGTCGTTTAGCAAAAAATTCATATCCATCTTCCACTACCTGCAGAAAGAAATGTTAAACAAGTAAAAAAACAGATAATTCTTAACCATCTATACTAACTGGGACTGATGTAGCAGAGGTCTAAAAATCCTTTGCTTTGTTTTAGATGCTGCAACTTTCACTCTTAAACATTGCTTAGAATATTAAAATTGGTATTCCTTTTCTATAATATCAGGCATGTAGTTAAATGGAATAATAAATGTGTTATGAAAAAACCTTAAAAGAGGAGACATGAGACAAAGATATGCTAATAGGTACAGCAAGCACAGAGAGCTGGGATACCAAGTAATTCTTTGACAATAACATTATAATCCACTATGGAATTCTGTTACTTTTGAGCCAGGGTCTCCCCATTCAGATCAGCCTTGAACCTACTATGTAGCCCAGGCTGGCCTCAAACCCACAGCAATCCTCCTGCCTCAGCCTCCCAAGCGCTGGTATCACAGGTGTGTGCCACCAGACCTGGTTAGAAGTCTTAATTAAATGAGCAACAGACAATGACTCTGCAAAGAACCTTTTTCTTGCTTTATTTTTAAATTTTCTATTAGTATATTAAAACATTGAAATATTGAAAAATAATGAAAAAATTACTGTGCTACATGGATCATACTTTTTTTTGAGGTCAGGTCTCACTATGCAGTCTGGGCTGGTCTCAATTTTATGGCTATCTGCCTGCCTCAGCCTCCTGTAGAATTATAGGTGTGTACCACCAGGCCTGGACAGATCATACTCTAAATTAGCTGCCAGACCAAATTTTTATATAATTATTTTCCTTATGAGTTTATAATTCATGATTTCTAGAATTTGTTGTCAGCTCCTAAATGTTTCTCAGCTCCACAGAAGTGAGAGGCAGGCAAAAACATTTAAGCATTTTATATTTATTTGCAGTAGGCATGATTATTTTTTGAAGCCTATTTTAGGTATCCCTTGGCGAGCAAATTCATACTACACTGTTTGCTAATAAAAAAAGCACCACCAAAATCATTTACTTTTTATTTTTTGAGACAGGGTCTCACCAGGCAGTTCAGGCTGTCCTTAACTAAAGCAGCCCAGGTTGGCCTTGAACTTGCAATGATCCTCCCACCTCAGGCTCCCAAGTGCTGGCATTATAGGTGTGCACCACCACACCCAGCTCAAAATCATTTACTTTTAAAAATAACTTCTGACTTAGTATTGTTAACATGCCTGTTAAAATTTACCTCACAGTACAATTTAGATATGAATCTATTCAGTCAAGACTGTGTGGTCACCTTATATACCTTTGCTTGGCAAAATAAAGTTTGCCACTTGGTGAATGTTTCTCAGTTTTATTTATTCATTCTTTCCAACATTAAAAAAAAAAGTATTTGAATTTGTGTTCCTATTACTGTATGTCTTAATTTTAGAGAGGTAAAAATATACTGGGCATAATGGCTCATGACTGAAATCACTATTGGGAAGGCTGAGACAGAAGGATCACAAATTTGAGGCTACTGTGCACAACTTAGTGAGACCCTGTCTCAAAAAAAAAAAAAAAAAAAAAAAAAGAGGGCATAGGATGTGCTAAGTAGTAGAACACTTGCTAAGTTGCACAAGGCCCTGGGTTCAGTCCCTAGTAACACACAGACACAAAGGAGAAGTAGTCACGGGGAGTAAAGTCTCAAAGAAAAGGTTACTGTGAACCTGAGTTAATAAATTTTGCTTTAACATAAAATAACAATCTTAAATGTTTATAAATTTCAAAAACTTACCAGTCTCTAAAATGAAGATGTTTTAAATGCATTTTAAATAAATGCCTTTTAATCAGTGTATTTTATACTAGTTATGTTTTACAAAGCATGAGCACTTGATATATTGACTATGTATTAGCAAAAAATGGATGTTCTTCATACATAACAATGATTTTATTACAGCTAAAATAAATCCTGATACATTACCTATGACACAGTAAAATTCCTCAACCATCTCAAACATTGCTTACACTATGATTTGTTCTGACAGAGAATATACGCTGTATGGATTAACCTGTTACTGACAATAAAGAACACATGAAAAATCTAGAGCATGCCTAGAAAACTAGCACAGTGCTGTGACTTAACATTTGGTTAGGGTTCTACTACAGTATACTTCAAAAATACATTCTTTTGAAAGACTTCATTCCTTATAGCAAGAAAAGGGTTAACAAATCACTGACTGCAAGTCTGAGGTCTAGGTACTGACTGCCTCTCACTGCTTTCCTTCTACAAATTCATTTGGTTTCTTTAGATTCCAGTTTTCTAAAAAATAAAAAAGGGCTGTATGAAGTAACAATAAAGTATCCAAGTCTTATGTTTCATACCTGATGAGCTCGACAAATCAAGTCTAAATCATGACGATTCAGAAATTTACTGACTACATCAGCTCCAAAAGTGAAGGAAACACCACGATCATTTTCTCCCCAACCCTGCACATCCTTATCTGGGTCAGACCACAGCAAATCACAAAGCAAACCTGTAGGGAACATAAAAATTAAACAATTAAAAATAAAAAAAAGTGTATAATAAAATATATTCCACTTTATTTCTGCTGTCCTCTTACCCTTTAACCCAACAATAGTAATCACTTGCTTCCAAGTATCCCACCCAACTCATCTGTCTTACCCATTCTTTGTTAATGCAACCACACAAATATAATCTTGCCTGGCCTCTTAAGGCAGTATTTTTAAATGCTTTCTCATATAAGAAATTTATGGATGGCATGCTCTTAGCACATGTGAAAATCTTCTGTGTATTATTTCTCCATCTAAATAGCTAACTGATCCAGTACCACTTTCTAGGTAGTTCACCCTTTCCTTCCAGAGCCACAGTTTCTGAACATCCCAGTCTATTCTATTCATCCTTCAGTCATTAACATAAAAATGTCTTTATATTTGATTGGGCTTGTATCCCCTCAACTGCTCTTCTGGGTCATCTTGGTTACTTTTTGGATCCTGTTTTTCTAGATAAACTTCAGAATCAGCTTGTCTAAGTCTATAAAAAATTCAACTGCTATTCCACTGGAATTGCATTTGATCTACAGTTCAATTTGAGGAAAGAAAACATTTTCTATTGAGGCTTGCAGGATTAAAAAAAAATGAAGGAATAAAATTGGATTAAATCCTTGATTTTATTTATTTGGTTTTTGGGGGGTACCGAAGATAGAACTCTGGACCTTGTGCTTACAAGGCAGGTGGTGGAACCACACTGAGCTAAATCACAGCCCCTAAATGCTTGATTTTAGTAATTCTTTGGGTCTAGGAAAAAAGGTTAGGACTAGATTGGTATCTTGATCATACTAATCAAAGAAATCTCAGGAAGGACTTAAAACTACCCTGAGAATATAGAGACAGTAAATAAACTAAAAAAAAATCCAATCTTTAATAGGCAGGCAGAAAAGAATGGGAAAAAATTACTGAGGAGGACCTTTTAAATCAAAGGGAAGAGATTAGCATAATAATGACATCATGAAAGGGTAAAAACTGTCAATACATAGGAAGTGACAAAGTTTCAAGCACCCACAACTAAGTGGAGTAGAACAAAGACCAAATATATGACACTTTAAACAACCAGACCTAAACAAAAGCAAATTCTTGATAGTTAAAAGTGAGTAGGTAGGACTAGGGGATTAGCCCAGTGTGAGTTTGATTCCTGGTACCCAAAAAAAAAAAAAAAAAAAAAAAAACAATGTAGGTATATATTAAACTGTAGTGAGATGGAGGGGGGTGCTGAGATAGTGATACTAAGTAAACTGCCAAGTACTACGGTGGCTAAAGAAATGTTTTATAGAATGAATCAGATTTAAGATTTTTTTTAAAAAGATAAATATAGCTTAGGAAGAAAGGAGATTTTCAGTACAATGTAAGCTTGTCTTGACAGAAGAATTACTTAAAATTCTTCAGACAATTAGTGACAATGTACCCTTAATTTCTTCTATCACTGGTATTTCCTAAGTGCTCACTATGCTGTTTTAAGAAACGTAACAGCACATAGAAAATCCACCGGGACACACACAATTCATAAGCCTTTCTGCCTGAAGATGACTCAGTCACACACCCAGTGGTCTATAATGTTTAGACTTTCCGGTTTAATTTCAAAGACAAAGCACTGTGGGCCCAGGGCTTTAGCTCAGTGGCACTGCACTTGCCTTGCAAGCATAAGGCCCTGAATTTGATCCCCAGTACAAAAAAAAAAAAAAAAAAAAAGATGAAGCATTGAGCAGAAATCCCAGGGATTAATTATCTAATTTTGGTGTGACAATAAAACTGTGCCAAACTAGAATGCAGGGTTTTAACGTTGGGGAAATTCGAGTTTGGACAGATTAAAAGTCAAATAATGGCAGCTTTAAACAGTCGAATTCTTTAACCTTTATGGAGCAAAGAATTTCAAAGATTCAGCGTTTAATGAGAAAGCATGACAACAGATTAGGTTACCATTTTTTTTTTTTTTTTTTTGGTACCAGGGATCGAACTAGGTTATCATTTTAAAAGAATTTACAAATTAAATTTCTGAAGGCTGCACAAAACAAAAATCAATGAACTATTTTCTGGCATCTCAGAAACTTTCCATTAAAATGCTGAAAGCAGAAACCTAGTATGTCACCTCAAAACTGATTTACAACTGAATTATACAGAAATACAAATTTACACATTAATATAAAACCCATACACAAAATTATATAAATGTATTATCATCTTTTCAAAATACTATTTTAAATATACTAATTTCTATTAGGTTTAAACACACTTAATAATTATAATCAAAATCTATGGCAAAACTCTTGCTTTCTCCTCTTGTATAATTGACACAAATCATGTTAAGTTGTAAAGCAATTTATTACAACATGCAAATTTGAGATGGCTCACTGTCATCAAGGGATTAAACTAGAGTGTATGTAGTCATGAACAGCATTGAGAGTGATATCATCAGGCTCACAGTACACCAAGCACAACATTCCAACGACACTTGGAAATACGCAACCAAATACATGTTCTGAGCCAATTTAGTTTCAGGCCTCTTTTTCTCAGATACTGGTCCATGATCATTATTAAATGTTTATCAAAATTTCAATCTTAAGAATGGAAAATGAACTCAGTGACTATCCAGCCTAATACCGATTTCATCAGTAACTGATCTCCAGCAACAAAAAGGAAGCATCATCTTCTAAGTTATAGGGTCCTTTTTTCATATCTAGTCTATTCCTAACATGAAACAGGACTGTCTCTATATTACCTCAGATAATTCCTAGAATGAATGTATACAAATTTTCCCAGAACCAACAAATATATAAAGGGTGGCTCTGATGACACACATGGACAATTTAATACAATAAGGTAATTTTGTTTTAAAAAGTCTTGGCTGGGTGTACTGGTGAGTGCCTCAGCACTTGGGAGGCTGAGGTAGAAGGATCATTATGAGTTTAAGGCCAGACTGGGCTACACAATGAGTTGAAGGTCAGCCTGACTTAACACAGGGAGACCCTGTCTACAAAACAAAACAGAAGCAAAGTCTTCTGCAGAAACGGGAAGGACAGTTTTACTTATGTCAATGATTTTAATAATATGAAGATATGACACAATAAAAATATGTTTTGTCTTTGTTCCTGTTTTGTCCAGGCACACCCTTGCAATTTCCTCAAAGAAAAGAGTGTCTTAGTTGTAACAAGTCCCTTTCTACCACATCTGGCTCTATGGTAATGAGGTGATTCACTGGGATCTCTAGAAAGCTTCAGGATGGGTACTGGTCACCAGAGACATTAAACATGCCAGAGTTTAATGAAAAAAGTCTCTTGAACACCGAGAATTAGAAAGCCTCCAGCTTGGTGAATAAGCTTATATGCTGGGAAGGAAGCATGCCCAGAGATGGTACAGAAGCTCTCTGTTAGCTGCTCAGTACTTTCCCAGGTCCATCTCTTCTGTTTTAACTGTTCCTGAGTTCTATAAGCAAACATTACGTTATTAAAGGAGAGGATTGTAGAAACTTCTGAATTGATGGCTGGAAGAAGTGTGGGTCACCTGCAGATGGCACTTGCAGCTAGCATCTGAAGTGTGAGCAGTGTGTCAACTAAGCCCTTGGCCTGTGAAGTCTGTGCTAAATCTGGGAGCCAGAATCAGAACTGAACTAGATACCCAGATGGTATTGGAGAACTGGCTGTGGTTTGCAAAAATCACATACATCTGGTGTCAGAAACCACACAAAAAGATATTAATGTTTTAAGCAAACACTTAGGAGAGCAACTTAACTATACTGAATCCAGTACACCTTCATGGGATTTTATATTAATGCCACGATTAGATACCTTAATATCTACATGGCATTCAAATACAAATAACATTTTGAACAGAACAGTTAGGCTAAGTAGTAATGGTGCCTTATCATTTATTTACAAAGTTACTTTAATACAGCATTTTATCCTCAACTAGTACTTATTCTCTACTTGCTTCATTTTTGTTTTGACTTACTAACCTAAGAGTTGTTCCTAATGTCTGGAAAGTCATTCATAAAATTTTTTCACAGAATTTCACACAATTTTTTGTAAAATTAACGTCTCTAGAGCCTTAAGAGTTAAAAAATTTGAACTATAGATGACGCAGAAAATAAAAAACTACATAACTTAAAAGAAAGCAGCTGAGAGGGAAGGAAGGAAAAGAAGTTATTTAATTTAAAATCTCTTGACTAATTTAACAGGTTTCTGAAAGACATAACAAATACTGACGTAAGTGAGGAAATATACAAAGGAAGGTAAGAATCCATAGTAAGGTTTTTTTGGAACCAGGGACTGAACTTGGGTCTTTGTGCTTGAGAGGCAGGTGGCAGCAACACTGAGCTAAATCCCCAACCCGAGCTGTTTTTTTTTTTTTTTGGTGATAAAATAAGTTTGACAAGCACATTATCATTACATAAATTTTTAAAGTTCTATACTTTAGGGAATGATTAGTGGAAAGAAAAATATTCTGTACTACTGGAAATAATTTAGTTATTTTATTGAATATAAACAAGAGGTGTATTTAGTAAACCATTCCTACTTCCACTAAATAAATTAGGTTCAAATATGCCAAGGTTTTATACAAAACAATTAAATTTCTCTATACACTTGCCTGTATCAGGGACATCAGTGGGTCTCATAATTCTCCGAATTTGCTCCATAGATTGCAGATCTGGGGACAGTCCTAGAAGTAAAAACAGGGGATTCAGTCCTGGTATTTGACAAAGCATTACAATTACATTGTCTTCTCTATTTTCTCTATCAAGAAAATGTAATTCTGTTCTATTTAAAAAGATTTCCCAAAGACAGTCCCCTATTATGTTCCTTCCCATTTTTCTTGCCCTTCATATTAATATAGTACTCAACTGCAACTCTTCCTCCTACTTTTGCTACCACTTCAGATAAAACAATTTACATCTAAATCAAAATGTCTCAGTTGGTTGCCTTCTAAATACATTTTTTTCACGACCCCCTTCAACATGCTCATTATTTCATGAAGGCATTAAACTGTTGACCAGAAGGATAAATAAGAAAAAGAACATGGATATACTTGAAAACATTTAAAGAGGTACATATGTATGAGATACTATTACTCTCTGGCAGGTATCCAAGTATCACGAAGAATACAGCTAAACGTTCATATTCCATACTACTCTATTTCTATTCTTAGTTATACTAATGTGTAAGAACTACAACTCCTTAAAAATTTAACATCTACTGGAAAATATGTTTCAACACACTGAATTATGTCCTACTGAACAATAAACTACTTACTACCTCAGGTCTAATGAAGTGCATTTATCTTTTTAGTGTTTTTTCACTTTCAATCTCATTTACTAATTTGAAAAAGTAATTTTCTTACATTACTTTCATTAAATTACTTCCCCACACAAAATCCAACATGATTATTGTAACATTTAATAAAGCCTTGCTCATGCAGATTTCTATAATCTCGCCTCATTATTCCCCAATATGTAGTTGATAATCTAGTTCAGTTGGATCAGTCCTCACATATCCTCTAGAGAATTTACATATGGACTCATGCCTTTTTCATTTCTCTAGAGTTTACTTATCCCTTAAAATTCATGCCTCCACCAACACTCGAGAGGCTAAGGCAGGAGGACGGCCACAAGTTCATAGACAGTCTAAGCTACATAAGTGAGTTCAAGACAAGCCTGAACTACACACTGAGACCTTGTCTCCAACCCACCTCTCAAAAACAAAACCCAAATGGCTGGGGATTTAGCTCAGTGGTTCTGGAGCCTGCCTCGCAAGCTCAAGGACAAGTTCGATCCCCAGTACCACCCCCCACCGCAAAACAAAAAACAAAAAACAAAAAACAAAACAAACCCGATAAAAACCCCCCAAACAATTCATGCCTCCATAAACATACCCAACAATTCTTACTCTTTGACTTTTAATTGCTGTCTCTAGAAGTACCGCCATAATTAAATCATAACAATTTTGTTACTCAATATTTGTTAGCTATTTACTTACATCCATCCACTCATTCACTTCTTTTGAGATGGGGTCTTACTATGTAGACCAGGCAGCTAATCCTGTCCTCCTGTCATAGCTTCACAAGAGCTACAATTACAGGTGTGTGCTACCATGCCCAGCAGCTACATAAATATATTGTATTCTGGTACTGGGGATTGAACTCAGGACCTTGCACTTGCCAGGCAGGTGCAGCACCAGTGAGCTACATCCCTGGCCCATAAATATATTTTTATCAAAAGGCTTTTAAATGCTTCAAGATCATCAGATTATACATTACATATTGTCATGGTACCTAGCCAAGTGCTAGACACATGTTAATTTTTCAAATACATTTTATGTATTTATGCTTATTTCACAAGTCAAAACAACTTACCATATATATACATTTTTTTTTTTTTTTTTAAAGATAGGGTCTCACTATGCAGTTAAGGCTAGTCTTGAACTTGTGGTGATCCTCCTGTATCAGCCAACTGAGTGCTGGGACTACAGGTTGTGCACCACTACATTCTGTTATAAAAATTATTTTTAAGACTAAAACCAACATACTGTACAAAGCCCAGACTTCTTAAAATATACATACACAAACTCAATTACATTTGATTCTAATGAAAGGATGCTTAATACAGAAAGGAAAACAATGATTTTTGTCATTTTTACTGATAGCAGGAGTTATCTATCTGTTAAAATTTGAGGTACAGGCTACAGATGTAGCTCACTGGTAGAATGTGCTTGCCTACTATGTGTGAAGCTTGGGTCTGATCCCCAGCATTGTAAAACCAAACCAAACCAAAACAAAACAGAATGAGACAAAGGGGAGATGTTAAAGCTCTACCTACTACATGAGAAATTCTTAAAAGAAAAATAGCCATTGTTTCCCAAGAGTATTGCCTCAAGTTTGAGGCCGACCTGGACTACATAGTACGTTCAAGGCAAACCTGAACTACTTACTTCACAGCAAAATCTTGTCTCATTAAAAAAAAAAAAAAAAAAAAAAAAAAAAGGTCTTTTGTTAGTAATGGAAAAATGTAAGAAAAACTCATAAGGCAAATTTATTATTCTACCTCCATGACAACAGAAAATCTTCTCATCCACAATGGCAGCTATAGGCAGACAGTTAAAACAATCAGTGAAGGTCTTCCACAATTTAATATTAAATCTTCGTTTGCCTATAAAAAGAACATGCAGATAGAATTTAGTTATTTCAAAGCCAGAGGATTATGAATTATTTCAATTTTCTTTTGTATGCTTAATTGTAATTTTTGTTTTTTGTAAGTGAATGAAGTTGTAAGACTTTATCGTATTGGCTGGGAATGTATGTCCATGGCAGAACACTTGCTTAGCATGTGTAAGGCCCTGGGCTTGAGCCTCAACACGACAAAAAAGTTCTATTAAAAGTGTTGTACATTGTGGCACACGCTTGTAATGCCAGCACTCAAAAAGGCTGAGGCAGGAGGATCACTATGAGTTCAAGGCCAGCTTGGGCTACATAGTGAGGATCTTGTCTCAAAAAACCAAAAAGGTAATAAGCATTCAGCACCTTCAGTAAAGTTACAAAGACTTTAAAAGACTGTGGTATGTGTTTTATGCAACAAATACCTCAGACAATTTTGTCTTTTAAGATCACTATAATAAAAGCAATTCTGAAACAGTCTAGTAAATTATTAGTTATTTTTCCTTTAACATGTATACTAAGTATCTTGCCAAATACTTGAGTAGAAATGAAAGGTGTACCTTTGGAGACTGTCCTTTTTAACTCTAATGCATTAATACACTATAAATGTACTACTAAAATTCACTTTTGAGTGATTTACAACTCTGCTGTGCAGCAAGTAAAAGGGCACAAAGGCTGTAATTTTCTTTTATCCTAGCTTAAATAGCTACAACAAAGACAACCTGAAGTGCATGTTAACCTTTTTAAGAGTTACTAGATTTTCCTGATTTGGCATTAAGCTCAACTTTATTAAGCCAAGGAATAGATGAAAGATATATGTACTAACTTCCTATGATTTTATGCCACAGCCTGCCTCCTAATGACTAAGTACAATTCAAAGCACTATTTACAAGGTGCTCTCCCATGCTCTATTCCAGCCGATGTCATTTCTATCTTCAAGAATATTCATACCTCTATTTTCAGTGTATACTGAATATGAATATACTATTTAAGAATATACTGTACAAGTGCAAGGACCCAAGTTCGATCCCTGGTATCAAAAAAATTTTTTTAAAAAAGGAATATACTGTACCTATATTCTGATATACTTTTAGGAAGATGGTTATAGTTTTATGTATTTCCATCTCCTTTTCTCCACAGGTCTCATTTAAACAATTTTAACTACATATTATATCACAGCAGGGAAGGATGGGGAAATTAAAAAAATTAAGATGTGTTATGTACATGTACTAATCCCCCACAATAAATGTAATTATTATGCACTGCAAACATATACTAATAAAAAAATTAAAAAGCAAAAAACCAAAAATACAATATACAATTAAATAGAGAATAATTCCCATTAGAATGTAAGTCCCATTGAGAATGGAGATCACTGATCTTGAGTACTGCCACGGTCCTAGTGTTCAGAGTGACTGACACATAAGTAAATTCTAATGGGGAATTCTATATTAAGAGTAAATTCAATTAGAAAATCAGTGCAACTGATTCTAAATTGTAACTAATAGAAGAAGCTCACTCCCATATGGGACCTAACAAAACTACAGGACTAGTTTGAATGTGGTAGGGTAATTTGACAAACTGCTTTTTACTTTTTGGTACCATGGATCAAACTTGGGACCTTGTGCTTGTGAGGCAGGCAGCAGAACCACTGAGCTAAATCCCTGGCTTGATAAACTGATTTTTAAAATAATCTTAGAAAACCAGAAGCCAATCTATTATAGTCACCTTTGTTTATTTAGCTCAGATATTTTTATTAGGCAAACTAATTAAAATACAGCTCTTCAATGTGGTTTTTCAATAAGAGGAATACTACTCAGCCATAAAGAATGAGAAATTAGAAACATTTATAGCTAAAAGGATGTACCTTGAGGCCATACTCTTAAGTGAAATAAGTAGGACACAGGTGGGTAAACACTGACTCCTTTCTCTGGTGTGAGAAACTGAAAGTATAAGTAAGGATCAAAATGTATAATAGATAATTTGAAATTGGAAGAAAAGATCCAAAGGGGAAGGGAATGTCAGTAGGGTAGAGGAAAGGGATAAATACGAGAAAATGAAAACAAACAAACAAAAAAACCCAAAACAAAAACCACCTCCACAGCTCTTCAGCCAAATAAAATGCAGTCAATTTGAAACATGACCAAGAGATCCCAAGAAGCCAATCAATAATGTATTTCCCACTTTCAGACTCCTCTTCCTGAGCCTCTGCCTAGGGATCATACAGCAGACCCTCAAGTTATGACTGGCCTGACACACAAACACCTTGGGTTATGACTGGAATTTTAGTTTATAACTTATGACCAAAGTCTTGAGTTATGACCTGAATGTTGGTTGCTTGTGCTACCAGATGGTCTCAGATATAGATATAATCCTTAAAGAGTTCTGGAAGGAACACAACCTTCTTTCCTGTGCGGGGTTAAGTGAGAAATCCTGGGCCAATGCCTAACAACACTGAGATCTGCCTGTGCACAAATGACTTTGAAGGCTGTGTAGAGGAGCCTGAGCCTTCAACCGACCAACTTTGTTGCAACCATCCCTCAAGAATGTACTGAGTTTGTAAGTCAAAGGTCTACTGTATTTTTAAAAAAATTCTTAATAAAAAACTCTTTTGAATTAGAAAATTATTAGGAAATTCATCATTACTTTTTAAAGTTTTTTATTTTCACTTACATTCGTCATAGAATCCATAAATGCGATTGATGCTAGCACATTCATGATTTCCTCTTAAGAGAAAAAAGTTTTCCGGATATTTGATTTTATAAGCCAATAGCAAACAAATGGTTTCCAAAGACTGCTTTCCTCTGTCCACATAATCTCCTAAGAAAAGATAGTTGGCTTCTGGTGGGAAACCTCCATATTCAAATAATCTCAGCAAATCTGTATATTGTCCATGAATATCTCCTAAAAATAGAAAAAGTCAGTTCAGAAAAATCAGTTACTGTTGTAAGAAACTTCTATGAAATGAGCTCCTAATGTTTATACTGTTACACAATCCCCTCCCCAGAGGTGTAGGCTACACCTAGTGACTTTCTTCTAACAAATCAGATACAATGCAAAGGAGATTGGCTGATTCTGGCTTTTGTAATGCTTGGGTTCTCACACATTCTTCTAAGGTTGCTGATGATGCTAGCTGCCTTACAGGGGAGCCCATGTAGCAAAGAATTAATAGGCCCCTGGCCAAGAGTTCATTTGGAACCAATGCCCTCAGTCCATCAGGCTGTACTGAACTCATCCCTGAGCCTTCCAGATAACTGCAGTCCCAGTTCAAACCTTGACTGGAGCTCTGTGAGAGACCCAGCAGCAAAGCTGTGCCCACATTCTGGACACACAGAAACTGTGAAATGGTAAATTGTTAAGCACAGAAGTTTTGGAAAATTTTTAAATACACAGTAACTAAAACAGTTAGTCTTATGGTAGTTTATTAGGTTGTATTCCATTTTGCCAAAAAGCAAGAACTAAGAAATACGTACATAAGTAACTTTAGTTACCATTAAGTTATTTCTATACAACATTTAAAAGAGTACTTTTTAGGAGTACAGACGGACTCTAACAAAATGGCTGGACTTAGAATTTTTAACTATGATTTTGAGAAAGCAACTTGCAGTCAGTACAAACTGTACTCTGAATTTTTATCTTTTCTTGGACTATTAATATGTAGTACAATACCCTTAGCAGCACCAAGCTACAGCTCCCAGTTAGCCACGCAATGAATGATGGTAAATGAGTGATAAGCGTGTACTGTGTTGTTAAGCTATACTTCTGGTAGGTGAAGTATGCTTAAAATTGCATTTTAAATTTGATGGGAATATTGGGACATACTCCCATTATAAGTTCAGGAGCATCTGTACTTCAATTTTAAGGTCATCCATAATCAATACATTTGCTTCATTTAAATTCATAAAAGAGAGAGATCATTTCCAGAAAATTCTAAATGACTATCTCTAAAAGGCAGTATTATTTGGTAAATTACTTAGCATGAAAAATGCTAATCCATTCAACAAACATTTCTTAATTGCTCAGTACTGTACAGAAGAGCACCAAATATGACTTAATAAACCATACACACTGTGTATGGTTAATAAACCCACCAAAAAAAAAAAAGTACTTAACATCATACTAAGCACTTAAAAAAAAGTGTGACTGCAGATCACCAAGAAATACCCAGGAGAAAGAATTTCTGCACTATTTAACTAAAGGCCAGTAATGATACATTATATTTTTTCTTGTTACAACAATGATATAACCACTTAATTTAAGGCCACACACTTTTAAATTTGGCCAAAATCCATTTTAAGACTTAAATACAAACCATCACAACAAAGTAAGAAGACCATGGATATTGTCCCGCTGACCCTAAAAATTCTGTAATTTTTTCTAAGCAGTGCACTGGAATCTCCATTTCTCCATATTCTTAAGGACACTAAATGTTAGTCTTTGGCTCTTTTGTAATCTGATTAGACTTAGGAATTTTGATTTTATTTATGGGGTTGAGGCCCTTGTATTTAATGTTTATTTTAATTACTTCTTCTAAGAACTACCTCTTCCTTTCTTTGGTTCCTGCTGTATTGTCATTTTCTTATCTCTAAGAATTCTTTATTAATGAACAGCAACATTTTTACATGTTGCAATATACCAAGTAATTCCTTTTCTTTTCTTTTTTTTTTGAGGCAGGGTCTTGCTTTGTTGTTCAGGTTGGCCTTGAACTCACAGCAATCCTCCTGCCTCAGCCTCCCAAGGGCTGGAATTACAAGCATGAGCCATCACATCTGGCAGTACATTTTAAAAAATCATTTTTATGTTTCAAATTTTATACAATAAACGCTATCAATGTACCATTAAACAAAATTTAAAAAATTTTTCCTTAAATCATTCTCATAAATATGGGAAGAAAAACATTATTCAAAAGAACCGTTTCCAATTTTACCCATTTACCTACCACAAATTTTCAGTGGTGCCTCCAATTCCAAAAGAATAGGCTGGCTGAGAAAGATCTCACGAGACTTGATACATAAGCCCCGAACTTCTGCTTCAGTCATCTGCACAATTTTTCCAGGACGACATCCTCGTACTGATAAACAATGAAGAAAATGGTCAGTCTTCTAAAACGTACCAGTAAAATAATAATCTTTTGAAAAGATCACGTCTATATGTTCAAGGTCAAAAAAGTCAAAGGTTGCAAACTACCCTATTGGATTCAATGGCTAATAACGGTAAGGTATTCTAAGTCTTTGGCCTCCATCTCCAATGTTGCTGGTTTCTGATGACACTTCCTCAAATCTGCTGCCATGAAAATGAAGCCCCCCTCCACTTTTTTTTTGAGACAGGGTCTCAATATATAGTTGAGACTGACCTGGAACTCACAGCAATCCTCCTGTATCAGCCTCCCGAGTGCTGGGATTAAGAAAATGCAGACTTACTCTTTGCTCTCTAGGGGCCAAACTGAGTGTGACCAGCCCGAGAGAACTAAACAGTTTCAGTGGCTATAAAAAACTGGGCATAGTAGTGCACACCTGTAACTACACCACGAGGGGAGGCCGAGGCAGATGGATTCCAAGTTCAGCCCAGACTGGGAAACTTGGTGGGCCCTGCGCCAGAACAGACAGACTTCGGTGCTAGGACCCTGGGTTAAATCCTCTCTGTGTGTGTGTGTTCGCACGTGCATGCGCAGCTGCCAGGTAAGTGTTTTGGTTTTGTACCCTTTCCTGAAATTTTATCAGCATCTCCAGGAATTTTAACAACAAACACTTCCCATTTGCTGATTTAAAACACATATACAAGTAACTTGTAATCATTTCATCATTATCTCCACTGGCTCATTCCATTTAACATTTAAACATACTAGGCTGGGAATTTGGCTCAGTGGTTCTGCCGCCTGCCTCGCAAGCGCAAGGACCCGAGTTCGATCCCCGTACCCCCACCAAAAAAAAGAAAAGAAAGCAAAAACATTTAAACATACTTGTAAGATCTAAATCCTAACTGAAAAGGCATTAAAAAAGAAAACAGCAGACTGCCTTTCTATATATCTCTATTTATAATTTCTATATATCTCCATTTATAATTAAGCATACATATTTTTTGGTTAAAAATTGTTACAATTCTTTTGTCAGGTCAACGATACAGACTTTAAAAAAGGCCTTTATATGCAAAAGCTGTAAATTCATTCAATTAATATATTAACATAAAAATAACAAGTTTAAAGAGACAACATACAAATGTGCTTCAGCAAATATGCCAGTTACTAAGACTATTCCTGAAATTCAAATCATGTTCAGCAAAACTAGCTCTCAAAAAAATTACCTACTTCTGAACCTAAGACCAAAGGATATTTAGCTTCATATCTTCTACTAAGCACCTGAAATACTGGCCCCGCTTACTTTCAGGAACAAGTCTTAATCTTGGGATTACTCCCCATGTGGACAAAAGTTTAAGGGGGAGAAAAAAAGATTTTCACCTTGAAGGATGAAAGATCCCTGGCTGCTTTCAGATGATATCTACAAGTTATTATTTAGCAGTTATTAAATCATTCAACAAATACTTGAGAGCCTACTGTGCATGAGTTGTTAAGATACTACAGACAAGATTTATAAAAAATGCTCAAACCTAGACAACAGTGGTGTTCACCTGTAACCCCAGCTACCTGGCAGGTTGAGGCAGGAGAATGGAAAACTCAAGACCAGCTTGGGAAACATAGCAAGACTGTACCTCTTTTCTAAGAAGTTCACAACTTATGTTGCAATTCCACAGTAACATAGTTTAGCTGTGACTCAACGGCACTCATTTAAGTCAGTTAAAAGGCAGGCTAGTGAGGGTCATTTCAATGTGTCAACTTAAAATTGACCAAATTATAATGGTGACTATTTTAACTTATATTTCTTATTATTTTCTTCATAAATTGTTTAATTTTTTCAAAGTGAATAATTACAGAACTCTAACATTTTTAGAGGTATAAAATGCAAAAGTTATGTTAATCTGCAAAAACTAAAATTCACCAAAATAAAACCTACTGCACGAAAGCTGTATTTCACTGATTCATGCACTTTTGGGGCCGGGGTTTAGCTCAGTGGTGCTGTGCCTGCCTCACAAGCACAAAGTCCCAAGTTCAATCCTCAGTGACAAAAAAAAAGCACTTTGGGGCCCAGGGATGTAGCTCAGTGGCATCACACCTGCAAGGTCCTGAGTTTGATCCCTGGTATCAGAAATAGAAAAAAGCACTTTTCCCTAAATATCTCTGAAGCTGTGCTATATCTTGTAATTGCTTATGATCCTCCTGGTGGCACATAAAACTGCATATCATAATCGTATCTTAAGAGTTGATGAAATACTTTTAGAGAAGCTAAAGTTTCTTCTAAATGTTAAGCCTTCAGCAAGTGACCAAATATTAGAAATGCACTGGCCAAATGTGTGGGAAAATAAAGTAAATATATCAGAGCAATTCTAATTGTTTTTCAATTCAAAAGTCATGCTCTCTTACATACTTTCAGATTTCTAAAACCACTTCAAGTTTCTCAGTTCTCTGAAAAAAGAAATCAGCTGTCAGTTTACATGTACATGCATGAGGCAAGTAGATCACTATCACAATATTCCCAACAGACTTCATTATTTGGATATAATCAGTCTAGACATAAGTGTCTCACTGGATTAAGAAGATACTGTAAATCTGCATTACTTCATTAGGTGCAAGGCACTCCACACCAACTATCTCATTTTATCCCTTTCATATTCCAAGAATGAGAAAGGGACGTTATTCTCTCTACTGTCCAATAAAAGACTGAAATCATATAACTTTGCATATGATCACAAGACAGGAGGAAATGAAGAGCAGCATAGAAGGATTCAGTTTTCTAATTCAAAGGAAGTATTCTTTGCAGTTTGCCATATAAAACTTTGAGAAAAAAATTTTAGCTTATAACCTACTATTACAAAGCAGAAACTATTTTGAGGTACTATGTATAAGCAGTTAACTAACATTGCATGTATAAATCAATGCATTTTAAACTTCTCTATACTCACATAACCACCCAGAATAATACATGGAATGCTAGGTGGACATGGTGACACAGGCCTGTAATACCAGCACTTTGAGACATGAAGGCAGGAGGATCTGTCCCAGCCTAGGCTATTTAGTGACTTAGTGAAACCCTGTCTCAAAGTGAAAAGAAAGAAAAGGGGCTAGGGATGAAGTTCAAGGCAAAGACCCTGGGTTCAATCCTCAACTCCAGAAAAAGGAGAAAGCATAGCATTCTTTGGGGTGGTTATGAATAGTAATGCACATTGCTCTAGAATATGTCTAGAACACAAGAGCAGAACTAATGAGTCATAGAGACTTAGTTTTATTTAGCAGACAGCATGGGCTTCACAAAGTAACTATACCAATTCATATCTTTAAGTCCTTTGTTTATTCGTTAAAACTGGATTGACTTTTCCCCATCTTGTAATGCTATCCTGATGAACAGAAGCTCTTTATTTTAATGAATCTAAAAACTGTCTTTTATAAGGATTATTTTATGTCTTCTTCTAGATGCTTGTTTTAGACCATTTCATTCTATAATCCCTCTCAAATTAGTCTGTCAGGGGTAAAGTCAAGGTTCATTTTTATCCATGCAGACACTCAACTGACTTAGTATTATTTATCATAGACATTATCCTTTCCCCTATATAAACTACTGTGGTAACTTTGTAGAAAAATCAAGCAACTGAACTCAAAGGCATCTGTTTCTGGACACTGTATCATTGGCTTGACCCCAAACTTGTGTAAGTTTTCATTAGAAAATAGATGAGTTCAGGAACAAATGACATCTTAACAATGCCAAGCCTTCAAATTCATGGACTTTTTATTATCTCTTCTTTTACATAAAACTCTCATTTATTCCAGGACTGTTTTGTAGTTTTTACTGTCAATGTCTTTAATTTTTACTATGGTAGTCTTGCATATTTTTTCATTATGTTAATTTTGAGGGGCCTGTTATTGTAAACCTGTTTTCTTATTTCATTTTCCAGTTGTTTGATGATGGTTTGTATATACCGATCTGTTATGCTATTGTAACAGTTGCAGTTTTCCTTGGCAAGTATATGATCATATCATTTGTGAAAACTCAGTTTTAATCCTTCCCAATCTTTTATTTTTCTTTCTCTGAATCACCGAGGACCACTGGCACAATGTTGAATAGAAGTGAAGCTGCTGATACTCTTATCTTGTTCTTGAATTGGGAAAAAGGCATTCTATATTTCACCACCAAGAAAGATACTCTTACTTTTGTACATTTCACCATCTTTAGAAAAATTAATTTCTATTCCCGACTAAAAAAATTTTTTTTTGGTATGGGGATCAAACTTGGGACCTTGCACTGGCAAGGCAGGCAGTGGAACCACTGAGCTAAATCCCCAGCCCTTGACTGAGAACTTTTGTTATTAAGAGGTATTAAAATGTAGGAAACATTATTTCTTACTCAATGGCATCATATCATTTTAACCCTGCATTTTAAGTGTTTTATCTTGACCTTTCCCTTCTTTTTTGCGGGTGTGTGTGTGTGTGTGTTTGTGTGTGTGTGTTTGTGTGTGTGTGTGTGTTGTGTGTGTGTGGCAGTGGGGAATAAACCCATGGGCTTTACACTATGTTACATCCTCCGCCCTTTTAAACATTTTTTACTTTGAGACAGAGTTTCATTAAATGGCTAAATTAGTCCAAGCTGGGCTCCTTACAATACTCTTGCCTCAGCTTTCCACAGTGCTGGCTTATCTTAACTGATTTCTGTGTTGAGGTTAGCCCTGGATCCCTAGAATAAACAAGCTTATGATTTACTACCGCTATCTAAGATATGGCAGGATTAAATTTTGTAATATTTTGCTCAGGACTTTTGTGGCCATGTTCCTAAGATATTCATGGCCAGTTATCTGTCATTTATTCATCATATTTTAGTTTAAGGGCTGTGCTGGCTTCATACAGCACATTGGGAAGCATTATTTCTTTCTTCTATTTTCCGTAAGATACCACAAAATTGTAGTAATTTCTTATGTTTTAGGTCATCAGTGAAACCATCTGAACTTAAGAATTTTCTTTTCGAGAGGTATTTCAATACAAATTCATTT